GGCCGCCGTGTACTGGTGGTTTAAACCGCCACTACACGGCCCCGCCCTTGCAGAAATTTGTTCGTCACCTACGCCAAAAATTTTGTGGCTTGGGCCTACAGGACCGCAATGGCTGGCGGGGCCAGCCAAAAAATGAAAAAAGTGCACCGTTGGCGGTTCGGAAAAGCTTGGCGAACAGTGCAGCGCGTTCACGCCCGGATGTACCGGTGGTTTAAACCACCAGTACATACGCGCCTCCTTTTGCCAAGGCAGATCCTCCCTGTGCACCAAGGTTTGCCGGAACACCAGCGCGACCTTTTTCTTTTCTTTTGGCTATCTGCACCAGCCATTCTGCTCCAGCGCATCCTCGACTCCTTTTCGATTTTCAAGTTTGCATGGGCAATGTACTGGCGGTTTGTCCCAGTCCTGGAACTCAGTGTTGAAGAGCTCTCCCTTCCTTCTAATGTCCTGCCCAGTCAATCCCCTATTTCCCTCCCCATCAACTGTCGTTGGTGGATATGCAATGCTACGGTGCAGAATAGGCAAAGCTTGGAGTTCTGTAATGCAGATTGAAGAGCCTTTGAAGGGTTTAGGGCTTGGCTTGTACAGAGGGTTTCAGTGAATCCACCAGAGATCAACAGTCGCAGTTTGCTCTTAAAAAAAAAAAAAAAAAGTGTTGAAGTGCTCTCGCTTATGTGGCTGCATTGAGACATGGCAACAGGTTTGCGCCACACCGAGGCCCAGTGTTGTCATTGCCATGGAATCAGCATGGCCAAATGCAACATACTGCCAGTGTGCCTCCCTGTTTTGTTGCTCTCCGTTTACCGCCCAGTTGCTTATGGTTGATGCTTCTTTCACAGAATGCTATGTGAAAATAGATCTCTTATGAAGTCAACCACAACCCCCAGTTGCTTATGGATAATGATGCCTCTTTCACAGAACGATAAGTAGAAGCAGCTCAGTTTAGGAAGATGACTTTTGACTAACATGTCCAGCTTTTGGCTTTAGTTAAAGCTAGAGGATGTCCTTTCTACAAGAAATGTATTTTCTAACTTGTGTTAAGAGTCGACCAATGTTAGATGAAATGGGAAGGGTGAAGAATGCGAGGGTTGGACGGCAGCGGAGAGGGTATATTACAAATGCGAGGACTGAATCCCTCTGTCCGAGAGTCATTCTCATGCTTAGCGCTGCGGTGGACAGTAGATGAAAGTCTTTCTGGTGAGCTTTCTATGCGTGTGTCTCAGGGGGCATACTCGCTGTAGGAAATTTAGGGATGTATACGACCGCAATTTGTGCCAAATTCTGTCAAAAAGTTACATGTCTGACTATGCTGTTGGTCACGCACAAACTCTCCCTTTCTTCTTTCATTTCGAAGATTTTTCAACATTGCCATTTTTGGCCTGGTCATACCTGGCTCACAGACACCGTGTCGGCCGAAACTGGGCTTTGGGGTTATCAATGCCACTCGGATGCCTAGATCTGGTCTGCACCGAGGGGTTCTTTTATGTAGTTCTTTCGATTTTCCTCTCGTTCATCAAAACTCTGGTTCAGTGTTCTACTGCATCCCAGTGACACCCAAACATCTGGATGGTATCCACACCTATGTCTGAGTCCGGTCCGTATAGTATATTGGTCCAGATCCAGCATAACCATGCTGACTGAATTCATCACAAGTGTGTATGTGGTTTTCGAAAAGGCCCATTCCATCCACAAATCGTCACCAAAAATGTGTGTGTGTGTGTGTGTTGGGGGGGGGGGGGGAAGGGAGGCTTGTGCATCTGTGCATGTGTGGGTATGTGTGGGGAGACTAAGTGAGTTGAGTGAAAAGCAACCCAAAACAAGGAGCAACACAACATACTCGACACCCAGAAGAAACACGTCCATTTGCATGTCCTTTCCATGTCTTATACTTGCCAAGCTCATATCAACCAGACGTCAACCAATCAGTTCAGAGAGGCAGGGTGGAGACCGAGGCGGATATGATTCTGTCATAAAGCAGAACATAGTAGCTCCGCGCATTGTCAAACGAGAGAGAGGTAGACACACACACACACACACACACACACACACACACACACACACACACACACACACACACAGACAGAGAGAGACAGAGAGAGACACAGAGAGAGAGAGAGAGAGAGAGAGAGAGAGAGAGAGAGAGAGAGAGAGAGAGAGAGAGAGAGAGAGAGA